GTAACAGCTGCTCCTCCCTGTGTGCAGAATGGGATCCTGAACTACTGTGGCTTCCAGGTTTTTGCCCCTCAGATCTTCTGGGATCCTGCTACTGGTTCTCCTGAATCTCGCAGCTCCATGCTGGAGGGCTGGCGCACACGACTTCAAAACCTCTGTGGGGAAGCCACTGTGTACTTTGCTCCCTTGGACTACTTTGACAAGGAGAAGGGTTTCCTGCTGAAGCCTGAGGTCAAAGAGAAATATGCCAGCAAAGAGTCTGGCCTCACAGTGGGGATCCACATGGGCAAGCCACTGCCAGCCAACAGCCAGACCAAGGCTGCGGTCTGACAATGTAGTGGGTCCATGTAATGTCTTGATCTTAAAAATGTATTCTTTGCTTCAGGCAATATGCTCAAATGTTACTAGCCATTACACGTGCAGGCTGCGGCTTTATAGAATGAGACAAACAAATGCTACAAATTGACCTTAAAATATTACTCTGACTATTGTTGAGTCTGCAACAAAATAAAAAAACTTGTACTCATTTGTAGTGTTTCAATTTTATTTATTGCCTGAAATTTGGATTTTGATAACTAGACTTTAAACTCTATCGTACAGACAGAAGACTGCTCTCACATTAAAAGATTCAATTTCCTTGTGGATGATCTACTGCCCTTTTTGCATTTATCTTCACATTGGTTCTTTTTATAGTTTAATCTGTTTTAGTGCAGCAAGCAAAAACTTCTCTGGGCATTGACTACTTGAGCAAAGATGGCTTTCACAGTGGCACAAGTTTTTCTTCACTCTAGTATTATCCAAACTGGAATGATTTAATTTTGTGTGTGCCTTCTTAAGCTACAATGTCAACAGTAGGAAATTCTGTACACAGTGAGGTCATTTATTTATTTTTAAATGCATCAAATAATCGGAGTACTCCTACACAGTGCCGTGAAGAGTTTTTCCTCATTATTCATATTTCTTAAATTGCTCTTGTTTTTCTTTTAGCCTCACATTTTGCTTTGCATTTTTATAGTGCTGCAGCTTGTTTGGTATAATTATAAGAGGGGAATGATTTCCTTTATGCTGCTTCAGACTACAATGAAATTGCAGATTTCCCTTTTCACTCATTAACATGGAGCATGCTAATTAAATGTATTTATGGTTTGCTTTTTAAGCATATAAGTGCAGCTGTGCTTTCAAAACCTTGCCAACACATTGATTAAAACAATTATCTGTGTTTTTACTTTCAAAGAATAAAGTGTAAAGCTTTTAGGTGTTAATAGATACTTACTAATACTAATACTTCTGGTTTTCTAAAACACTAACATGAAGCAAGAAAGGTAGTGCTTTCCTTGGCAAGTCTAAAAATAGATGAACCATAACAAAGTAAAGCTTCTTTCATCTCATAAAGAGTCATCCTTTGTATTACTGTCATCTTGTGGCCACAGTTAGCTATTGTCACTGAAAGCTCTGCTTGTTTCTTACTCATAGGAAACGACAGCTGTCTTCATTCTACAGATGTGTCTGTCTCCCATTAACAATAACGTGAGCTATGCTGAGAGGGCGAGCAGATTTTTGTTTTGTGGTGTGAATATGTGGCCAGCATGCGAAGCACTGTCATATTTATATATTCGTATCAAACCAGTGTATACATATACTTTAACATTAGCTAATGAGTCCTGACTGAAACATTTCCTTCATCACTATACTTAGTATTCTTTGACTCTTTGAAAAGATTGTGACAGCATGCTGTGGTCTTGATCTGTCTGAGGGATCTCGATCCTCCTCTCCATTTCCTTTGCAGTTTTTTCCAGGAAGAAGTTTTTTCTTTTCTTGGTCTTTCATGTATTTATTTAAGCTGTTGGTGTTATTTAAGGAGAGCTTTTCCTTCCAACATGTTTTCCTTTATTGCTTTGTTTTGTTTTCATAGATATGTGGCCCTCACAGCACATCCACTACAAATGTGATTTAAAGAATATGATGCTGGATATTAAACAGAACATAAAGCATTTAATATGAGCTCAGCATTAAACATATGGAGCAGTATTATTAATCTATTTAAAACTGATATGGAACATTTTTCTACACAAAATGTAATTTTACTTTTTGTGCTGTACAACAGTTGTTGTACTGTAATGCACAATTTTCCATTAATGCGTTTTTATGTGTAGTGAGGTGTTTTCATAGTTCACACAGTAGATAGTAAAACATAAATTACAGTTTCTCAGAAAGGATAGGGGTTCTCTTTTTTCTTTTACTAACTATTTTTCTATTTATTTTTTATTATTATTATTTTTTCTACTGTACCATTCTGCTGAGTGACTGTCTTCTGCTCTTCAAATACATTTCATTGCGACGTTGACCCTGAGCTAACTTGCATATGACAAATAAAACTGAAAACTGCAAACATCCATGCTTGTGTACGGTACAGTATGGGCATTTGCTTGTTAAACTGTTAAATAGTGGAGGAAAGTGTGTGTGTGTGTGTGTGTGTGTGTGTGTGTCTGCATACCTTTCTTCAAAAGTCACCGCATGCCTGCGTGCCACTGCTCACGTTTTGTTGCCTGTCTTGTTTTTAGGTTTACCACAGGTTTTTCGAGCTTTGTGTCAGGTCCCTGAACGCAGCACGTGAGTCGGCTATTTGGGATATTTTCGCTTCTAGACTCGGACAACCGGGGTCCCATGAACTTTTGATACAGTCTGCATACATTGTGCGCTTGCACTATTTGATAAACAAAACGTAATTAACCAAAAGTCCTGTTTCTTCACCGCTTCCGGGCAGTTGCGCCTTCTTAAACCGATTTCCTGGCGGCCTTCCGCCGAAGCTCCAGTGGCGCAATCGGTTAGCGCGCGGTACTTATATGACAGTATACAGCAGAGCAATGCCGAGGTTGTGAGTTCGAGCCTCACCTGGAGCAGAGTTTTTAGTCTCAGCCTCATCTGTAGACGGGAGTTGCAGCCTGATATTTGGAGATTATCTGTCGACACGACGACCCTCCAGCTGTTCTTTACACGTTTATCTTCACTTTCTTTGCTTTAAAAGTGCAGCTTTATTACTTCCTGCCTTGCGATTAAATGCAACTGCTGCGATCTTAGCTAATGAAGACCACCAGTGTCATCTGAAAGGAGAATGCTAAAAAAAGCTTCTTTGTATCATGGACAACCCGTCCCACCCCATGCACGCCTCCCCGAAATGCAGAACTGACCGCCACAGAAAATCCTTTGTGCCGGTGGCAGTAAGACTCTTCCTCCCTCTGTGGGTGATTTTCCTGAGGATTAATAACAAAGTTATTCTGTTTCCATTCAGGCCGTGCAATGTCACCCAACAGTTTTTCATGGAATGTTTGTTTCATCTCCCCAACATATGCTGCCACTCTCTTTTATTCATTTGCACAATACTATGACACTTTTAGAATCACCTGCACTGATAGCTAAACTATTTATTTTTCAGGATATAGTTATATTGTTACTTGTTAAAGTTATTTGATATTATATTTTGCACTACTGTATATTACTGTATACTAGTATTCTATTGTATATCTTATTCCTCTGTTCCTCTGTCTCTCTTGCTGCATTGAGCATGTGTATGACAAAAGAATTTCCCTCGGGATGAATGTGATTAAGAAGTGTATTTTTAACTGGAACCCAGTATGAGCATAACATTTAGTATTTCAATTTCCTGCTAGAAATAGCTAGAATTGAGCATATCCTTGCTATTTCTATATCATATACTTGCCGTATAGATTGGACAGCACTGAACTGGAAGCTTACATAAATAAATAATTAAAACATGAGCAGACATCCATCTTTTCTATTTAGAGTCTCTAATAATAATAGAAGTGTTGCACAAACGGAAAGCAAAGCGGATTATATAACTAGGCAATTCAAAGTGATTTACATAACACATAAAGACATGAAAAAAAATTGAAAAGGCACAGTTATTATGCTTGCTTTAGATGCTTTTCTAGTTTCTGTTATTTTTGTTTTGTTTGATTTCTTTATGAACGCTGCAAATATGTTGCAAATGATACAACACAACCACACCAAAATAAGCACTGGCTATCACTGGTAAAAAGTTAAAAATGTGTATGCTGTTACTGCATAAGTTAACCTCCTATTTTAACCCAATAATAATCAACATGTAATATCTGCATGCCACAGAAAACAACCACAACAAAGTAAAACATGTTTTTGACCAGGGAGCTAAAAGCAACTTCAGCCTACCGTTCTCCCAGCAATATTGTTCAACACTGCCTCCTGTCGATTATCACGTTGAGGTGCTGTTTGCTGTGAAACCATTGCCCACCGGTAGAGGGCGATATTGCTGCACTAAACGGCCCTGCTCTAATGCGGCTCTAAACATTTTTTTTAAAGTGAAATAAATAAATAAATGAAAGTACTGAAAGCAGCAGCGTAATCTTGTGTTAATTCTTCTCATAATTTGTATTTACAAACATATTGACTGACACATATTTATGTGTTTATGTGTGCTGATCAATCTTTTCACCGCATCCTGAAATCTGCATGTTACCAAACACAACCCCAATCACCTTAATCCCTTTTAAGACGTTGTTTTATTTCACTATTCACAACTGTCACACACTGTGCACACGTCTCCATCCTTGTGTGTTTACGTGCATGTGTTTCTCAGCAGGTCTGCCGCTCTAAGCCCCCGTAAAGCTGGGAATGAACAAGCAGAAGATTGCAGTAATGATGTGACCCAGATGTCCTGGGTGCAGATCCCCTGGCTGAAAATGAGAGTGGAGATCGGGACCTTGAACCTCCCCTCCCTCGCTCCCTCCCTCCCTCCCTCTTGCCTGGGACACAATCACAGAACATTTGCATGTGTGTGTATTATTTGGGGAGGGGCATGTGTATGTTGCGTGTGTTTAAGCTCATGCAGATCCATGTAAACATGAGGGATCAGACTTAGGAGTGTGTGCCACTTGTTCTCAGCACTTCGGATTAGATGTAACAGTTTTTTTTTTGTTTTTTTTAATTTACTCTCTTTAGCCGCCTCCATAAAATACTAAAGCCTGGCTTCAAAACCTTCCTTCCCTCTCTGCCTCCCTCACTCCCTTCCTCCCCTTGACTCACCCATTCCCTGAGGTCAGCAGGTGGCTGAAAAATCACATAACCCGCACCATCCTGAAAGTAGGCTCAGTGGGCCACTTTACTCAATGAGAGGCTTGGCAGTTGGAGTAGTGCATGCATGTGTGTGCGTGTGTGTGTGTGCGTGTGTCTGTGTGTGTGTGGCAGGGATTGAGAGGAAAGGGGACAAAAGACAGAGTTTAATATTTGGGATAAGCTGTGATTGAATATCCTGAGATCAGAGCAGAATGATCAAATTCTGCTAGTGATAATCCTTCATCTTGGAAAATTAAATACCACTCTGCAGTCTCTCCTCTTGACTCACACTCTCTCACACACACACACACACACACACACTTGCAGTATTTAAACGAGGTCTGACATGTGTCTCATAACCGTGCTCGGTTCCTCGGGGAGCTGTTCTGATATCTGATGAGTTTTTCATTAATAAGACA